CCAGGGCGTCTCTCAGTGCTTTTGTAGTTAGACAGAAAAGCAAGAAGTTTACTGACAGTTAAGAAGGACAGGAAAGCTCTCTGAGCAGGAAGGGGGCAGGGGTGGGAGTGGGGGTGTGCTGCTGCTGAGGGGCCTAAACGCAGGAGTTTATATGGGTATGGTGGGCAAGGAGTGGGGGTGTTTGGCCACTGGATGTCTCCACATTGTGTGTCTTGGTGATTGTTTGGGGTCTGTGGGTTTCCTAGGTCCCTGAGATCTGCTGGAGACCAGCTCCAGCTAGAAGTTGTGTCAGGGGTCTCAGAGAGGAGAGGATGGCATTGGCCAAGTTTTCTCCAAGGACTGAGGGGAAGTGGAGCAAGGGAGGAGTGAGGAAGACACAGACTTCTTCTTTCGTGCAAGTATCTCCTGCTGAGGGTCTCAGCAGGTCTTTATTTATACCTTAAGGGAAGCGGTGAGATTACATCTGCATAAGCATCAAAGCTGAACAGAGACAATCATTACATATTTTCTCATGAATATACAAAGACCCTCTTGATCTCATACTACAAAAGGAGACTTCTTTAATCTGATTAAGAAAATCAACAGGAACAATTACTCTCCTAGGTACAACTCTTTTTCTAACATAATCAATTGTCTAAGACAGTACAATGTTCAGTAACAATCAATCATCCTGTCAAGCCTTCCTGATATTGGAGTAGACATGAAAGTCCATTGTTATGCTATATTAATAAAATCAACCCATTCCCTAGTACTCAATTAATCTAAAGTAACTCATCAATTGATCTAAAGTAACTCATCAATACTGTTTTAGTTCTACAGAAATCTGACACAACCTGCGAACTGTTGGCCTTTCACATACACCAGGAGATGTATTGTTGCCGGAAACAGGTACCCCCCAGGTAAGGCTGTGGTTTCCAAGCACAGCTGGTTCAGGGAACCTTGTTCTCCATAGTTCTCAGGGCCAAAACATTTCTTTCCTAACTACATCTTCAATAATTTTTACTTCTTTTGTGATAGTTCATGCATAAGAACAACAAGCCAATTGTCACCTGAGTCCGAATTAGGTTTTCACAGGCCAATTAATAACTAACTTACTTCAGCATTAACCAAGAACAAAGAGGAGAGCTTTAGCAGGCATTGCCATTGAGACTCCCTAGTTCAGATCTTCTTTGGGAAGTGCAAGAACTCCCCTCTTCTGGGAAGTACAACTTTCCCTCTTCTGGAGAACACAGGAACTCCACTCTTCTTGGGAGTCTCCCCCAATGCCCAGACCATGTCAAGAGACAGCATGGGAGGCGCAGCCTGCTGCAATGAGATCCACTGAATTGTCCACATTCCCTGGCCTGTCTTCCCAGAACCAGCTTTGGTTTGTGGCCTCAGCATCCTGTCACTGTCAGTGTCCTGCATATTCCATTGTTAACTGGGTTGGTGGTCCCTGATGCCCATTTAGTTTGATAAATGAGTTTGAGACATCTGGCTTGGGGGGCCCCTCCTGGTTCCCACTGATTGTTCAGGTTGAGAAATGGGCTTGAGGCTTGGGGCCCTGCTCCTAACCCACTGCTTATTCCCATTTCCTGTCTTCCTCATTCAGTGTTTGCACAGCTAACGACTTGATATTGATATGTTACTACTAAACTCCATGCTTATTTGGATGTCATTAGTTTGTTTTTTTTCCTTTTTCTGTCCCAAGTTCCCATCCTGATACCGCATTAAGCAAATCCCAGTCCTGTCTCCTGAGGTTCCTCTGGCTGAGTCAGTCTCTAGGACTCTTCTTGGTTTTGAAGGTCTTGACATTAGGGGAGCGCTGCTCAGAGGTTGTGTAGAATGCACTGCTTGACTGGGGTGATGGGCTCAAAAATGAGACCACACACAGGAACTTCCATTTTCAACAACACAGGAAGGGGGTATAAAAAGCACTTGATCCTACTGATGGTGTCACTGTCCCCCCTGGCTGAGGTCAGGTCTCCCACTTCCTGCCTGGGAAGTTCTTTCTTTTCTATGTCCCTTCCCACACTGCATTCTTTGGAAGGCATCACCATGTGGAGCCCACATTTAAGGGGAGCTCTGCTATTAATGTTTATGTGCAGGTTTTGTGCAAACATAACTTTTCAGATGAGTTGGTAAACACCTAGGAGGGTGATCAGCAGGTTCTAGAGTAAGTCTGTACTTAATTTTATAAGAAACTGCCAGCTAGCTTCCACAAAGACTGTGCTATGTGGTATTCCTGCCAGCGGTGAGTGGAGGTTCCTGTTGCTCCTCATCCTGGTCTCCCCCTATGCAGGTGGTGCAGTTTCACTTTCCAAGGTTCAGATTCCCACAATCAACTGGGGTCAGAACTTTTATGTATAATGAGAAACTGAAAGAGAGATAAAATTCACAGAACTTCTATACACTATATTGTTGTAATTGTCCTGTTTTATTTTTTAAATAGATAGATGTATTTAATTTTAAAAGTCCAGTACTTGTACAAAGTTTGTTATGAAGATAGATGTCCCCATCATCCATGCTCCCCTTTTCTTGAATCTCAATCGCAACCTGTTTTACTTCCTTTAAAACAGGTTATTCTCTGCCTCGAAATACCATCCTACCAGGATTCTTTGTTGAGTTTTATGTCTCATTGAGTGAAGTGACTCCTTTTTTACTCCTTTTTTACCTCATCCACCCAATATAATACATTATCATTTTCATTAGCTCAGTGCACAGTGTTTTTATTATTTTTCCAGAACTTCTTATATTTAATTTCATCAAAAACGTGTCCCATCTTTGTTTGTTTTTGTGTGTGTGTGTGTGTGTGTGACCCTCGCTGGTGGCTGGGAATGAGCTGGCACTGCAGAGGCTGCGGGCAGCCCTGCAGCCCAGTGCTCAACCGCTGCGCCACCAGGAGAGGCCCAAAAACATGTCCCATCTTTTAAACTAAACTGATACTACATCTTAGGAGCCAGAGGCGGAAAACATTTTCAGGCTAGACAATTGTCAGCTGTTGTTAACCATGAGAAACAGCAAATATCGACTGACAATTTTTTTAAAAAGATTTATTTTTATTTATTTATGCACACAAGCACTAGGGTATAAGACAGAGGTTTGTGGGTGGTGGTGGTGGTGAGATGATACAACAGAGACAGAGTAGGGAGCAGAACAGGTGGATCTTCTGAAATAGATCTACACTGCTGAGGGATCTATACTGCTGAGGGAAGCAGCAGATGAGACAGGAGAGGTCTGCTGTACCATGTGGGTAGCTCCCTGGCAGGGAATCGAACTCAGGCCACAGTGGTTGGGGATAGCTTGATAGCACCAAGACTTAATCCCCATGCCACCAGGGAGGCCCCCACAAATATTGACTGGAATGAGGCCACAAGTCTGGGGATGACCTGTCATTGTCAACCTTCCCCAGGCAGGGCCAGCACCTGAGCCCAGAGGAGAAGGGCTGCCCAGGAGGGAGCAGGAGGGAGGGAGCAGAGATGTGGACACAGACCACCCTGTCCAGTATGAAGAGCTGTGGGGTCCTGGCCAGGGAGGCTCAAGAAAGCAGGGAAGAATCTCCTCAAGGCTGGGAAAAGTAAACTCAGTTTCTGGTGACAGAGTGCATATAAATCACTTCAATATTGATACAATCCAAAGTATTATATCCCAAGAAAAATAATTTGTATGAGGTGCCCTAAACTTTCTTTTTTTTCTTTCCTTCTTTGTCTTTATTCCTTTTTCTTTTCTTTTTCTTTTTCTTTTTCTTTTTTTTTTTGACAATACCATATTTACTTGAAGGAATGAATGACAAAAATTATCATTGATTTGGTGAGGCTACCCTGGTGACAGAGGGATTAAAGTTTGTCTGGCTATTGCCAGCCACTGGGGCATGAGTTTGATCCCCAGCCAGGGAGCTGACCCACAAGGAACAACAGACCTCCCCTGTCTCACCCTCTGCTCCCCTCAGCAGTGCAGTTCAGTAGATCTGCCTCTGTTCTGCTCTGGACTCTGCCTCTGGCGAATCCTCTCACCCCCTCCCACCTCTGACCTATACCCCAATCTTGTATGCTTAAATAAATAATCTTTGAAAAATATATCAAATGTAAAAGATTCACTCTTCTCATTGCCTGATTATTTTCATACTAGTTATTTTTTCTTAAGAACACTTCCTGTTAACATGCATTGGCTTATTAATGTTGTTCTAAATGAAATAGTAACATCCTTAAAAGTGGTTTATTCTCAGTGTGATAAATACTGATAGCTATAGCCTCATAAGCAAAATTATACCTGGGGTTCTGGCTAGTCTGTAAGACTGTACACGGATCCTGACCCAGTCGCTGACCCAGTCGCTGGGCCTGGACTCAGGGATACAGTTCTTGGAGGGGGGGAGGGCAGCAGGGCATAGTCCCCAGTCCCAGGGTGTGGCTCAATTGCCTGCAGAGGTATCTGGGAGAAGGATTCTCCTTTCTCAGTTCCACAACTCCCTCTCTCCTGTTCCTGTACTCCAACAGGGATATTCATTACTCCTCCCCTGTTCTCACTCCTCAGTGCTTGGGGGGTTTCCGGGGAAGCCGACTGGCACCACCGCGGTCCAGTTACAGTCTCCACCTTAGCGCCAGGACTCAGATTCTCCGGAGACCCGACCGATGGGAGTCTGGAAGCCCCTACCCTTCCTGCTGCTGCTTTCGGGGACCCTGACCCTGGCGGTGAACTGGACGGGTGAGTGCGGTGCCTGCGGGGAAATGAGCGCTGCGTAGAGTGGAGCCAGGGGACCCCAGGCAGGACAGGGGCGCAGAACCCCGGGAAAGACGCGATATGCCGCCATTGGCCCTACTACCTCCTTCTCCCCAAGCCAGTCCTGGCTCTCGCTAGGGTCCCGCAGTTCTCTTGCCCCCCGGAGTCCTGGCCCTTCTCCCTACACCCTAGTCAGTCTCACTAGACCTCCCGCCTCCTTCTGTGTTGTCCACGTCAGAAAAGGACTCAGGCACCGCTAGGAAGGGGGGTCAGCCCGGGTCTCCCTCCCACCCCCAGGCCCCCACTCCATGAGGCTTTTCTACACCGCGATGTCCCGGCCCGGCCTCGGGGAGCCCCGCTTCATCGCCGTGGGCTACGTGGACGACACGCAGTTCGGGCGGTTCGACAGCGACTCCCCGGGCCAGAGTGTGGAGCCGCGGGCGCCCTGGGCGGAGCAGGTGGGGCAGGCGGATCGGGACGCGGAGACTCGGAGCCAAAAGGAGAACGCACATTGGTTCCAAGCGCACCTGAATGACCTGCGCGGCCTCTACAACCAGAGCGAGGACGGTGAGCTACCAGGGCCCAGGACCAGGTCACCCCCCATGCCCAATTGGGTCGCCCCGACTCTTCCGGTCCAAGCGACACCCCAAGGCTGTGGGGCCCACCCAGACCCTCAACCCGGGAAGACCCCCAGGACTGTCTTGTGCGCGGTTTCATTTTCAGTTCAGGTTTATTTAGGGTGTGAGGTCCCGGTAAGACTGATGCTGACGCGGGGTCGGGGCTCAGGGTCTCACACCCTCCAGAGGATGTCTGGCTGCGAGTTGGGGACCAGCGGGCGCCTCCTCCGCGGGTACCAACAATTCGCCTACGATGGCGCGGATTACCTGGCCCTGAACGAGGACCTGCGCTCCTGGACCGCGGCGGACACGGTGGCTCAGATCACCCGGCGGGAGTGGGAGGCCAGCGGGGAGGCCGAGCGCTTCAGGAACTACCTGGAGGACATGTGCATCATGTGGCTGCGCCAGTTCCTGGAGATGGGGAAGGAGGTGCTGCAGCGCACAGGTGAGAGGGGCCTAGAGGACTCCTGACCTCCCCTCTCCTGGCCCCCACAGGGAAAATGGGATAATGGTCAGAAGAGGCCTTCTTTCTGGTCCCAGAGGGAGGACCCCCCCAGGGTTTCATTTTCTGTCCTAGAGAGACACTCGCCCACAGGGCCCTTCTGTAACTGAAGGCCAGTGAAGGAATCCAGTCTCTCCGGAGATGGAGGGGAGAGCAGCTGTCACTGGCTCCATTTGCCTGGGCAGCCAATTTGGGAGCAATTAGTTTCTCTGTCAAGGTTTTGTTTTTGGTATGAGATATGATTCCTCATTCACCCTCCACCCACATCAAGTGCAAACGTCTGTGTTCTCCTCCTTGGAGACCTGCATCTTCCTACCTCAGGCTCTCACCCCCATCCTAAACTTTCTAATGAATAAAAGATTATCTTACATTCCCCACACTAGGCTGGTTTCAGGGTTTTCTGCTTCCTCCTTCCAAACTCATTGCCCTGTCCATTCTGAGGATGGTCAGAGAGGCTGCTGCAGTGTTTGTGCAAGAAACCCCAAGTGTGAATGTTCTCACCCTTCTCCGCAGTTCCCCCAAGGACATATGTGGCTCACCACCCCACCTCTGAGCATGAGGTCACCCTGAGATGCTGGGCACTGGGCTTCTACCCTGCGGACATCACCCTGACCTGGCAGCGAGATGGGGAGAACCTGACCCAGGACGCAGAGCTGGTGGAGACCAGGCCTGGGGGGGATGGAACCTTCCAGAAGTGGGCAGCTCTGGTGGTGCCTTCTGGAGAGGAGCAGAGATACACGTGCCATGTGCAGCACCAGGGGCTGCTGGAGCCCCGAGTCCTCAGATGGGGTAAGCAGGGGGATGTGAGCACAGAGCCTCTGCTCAGAGAAATCAGGAGCCCTTCTGGAGACCTTCAGAGGGTCAGGATGAGGCTTGGGGCTCAGGGTCTCACGTTCCCTTCCCTTCCAGTGCCCCCTCCTCAGTCCTCCATCCCACTGCGGGCATCATTGCTGGCCTGGTTCTCCTTGGAGCTGTGCTCACTGGAGCTGTGGTGGCTGCAGCTGTGAGGTGCAGGAAGAAGCGCTCAGGTAGGGAAGGGAGTGGGGGGTCTTGTCCACTGGGGGATTTCAAGTCCCAGATATAACTTTGCCCTGCCTGGTTAATGGAAATACCATCCACACACTGTGTTGCCCAGTCTGGAGCTGATTGCTACTCCTCTCTCTTTTGTAAACCATGTATGAAAATGAATCACCACTTGTTCACCTTGAACATTCTTGCTGAAGTACAGCTCAGGTGAACAGGGTGAGAGAGGAATCCAGTTGAACCAAGGAAATAAAGAAATGACAGACACAAAATGGAGTTCAAGAGAAACAGGACCCAGGGGATGCAAAGCCTCTCATTGGTGCTTAAGGGTCCCGAGTGTCCCGTGCAACTCGTTTTTATTGATACAAACTGCCCCCCTTCCTCCTGGTTAGTTACTAGGCAATGAAGCATTCTCTCAGCATTTAGCCTTGTCCAGGCACACACTCACTGCCAAGGTTCTGCGCCATCAGGGTATTCTGTTTTTTTTTCTAATCCATTTTGACCCCAGACACAGTTTTGCAGACACAAGAAAGAACATTCTGATCTGTACACAGGCCAGTCTTCCCACCAGGACTGACCCATCTTCCAGCCACGACCCTGATGTTTTCCTTATCTCAGCACTTTATGCCTTAGGGGGTCACCAACAATTCTGGTGATGGGATCCTGATTCCTAGCAAATGGCAGAGGGGAAGGTCCCTGCTGAGGACAGACTCCAGGAGGCAGTGGGTCCAGTCCCCCCTCATGTCCTCTCTTCATATTTCCTGATCCTGCCCTGCGTCCTCAGAACCAGTTTTGGAAACTTCCCTGTGGCTCAGACTAGGACTTCATGGCCCGACTTCATTTAGGACTTCATGGCCCGACTTCTTTGTGGTCTTACAGGATGTTTCTTCCCACAGGTGGACAAGGGCAAAGCTACACTCAAGCTGCAGGTAAGTGTAGATCAGGGGTTTGGTCCGTGAGCCCCTGGGGACAGTGTAGATGGAGCCCATGGGAGAGTCACCCCCATCAGTCCCTGTGGTCTCATCTCTCTGTGGCTCTGACCAGGTTCTGTTTTGTTCTCCCCCAGGCAGTGACAGTGCCCAGGGCCCTGATGTGTCTCTTAGCCCCTAAAGGTGAGACCCTGGAGGCCTGCGGTGGGAGGGGCTGGATCAGAGAGGATGGGACCAGGTTACAGGGAAGCTGTGAGGGGGGACACTCTGAGGGTGCAGTGGACTATTAGAATGTGAACACCTCCCTAACTTTGTTCATAATCCTTTTCCTTCACAGTTTGAGACAGCTGCCTTTTGGGGACTGAGTGATGCAGGATTTCTTCTCATCTTCATTTTGTGACTTCAACATCCACTGGTTTTTCTTGTTGGAAAAGGCCTATGAATGATTGATTCTGTCTTTTAATTGATAACATGAGGAGGTGGGGAGACTGGCCCAGCCCTGCCCACCAGGCCCTTCCCCACTGACCTGTATCTCTCCCTGGTGACTTTCCTGCTCCAGCAGAGGCAGGGCTGACTCCACCCCTGCTTGGGGTGGAGTATTTTTGTATTTTGTATCTTTTGTATTTTGTATCTTTTTTTGTATTTTGTATTTTGTATCTTGTATTTCCTGAAGAATGTCTACTTGCCTATTGAAAATAATCAGATATGAAATTATTTTTCTTGGGCCTCCCCTGGTGGCACAGGTGGTTGAGCGCAGAGCTATGAAGCTGTCTGCAGCCTCTGCAGCGCTGGTTCAATCCCGGCAGGCCTACAAGATTCACACATGGCGCGGCAAACCTCTCCTGTTGCAGCACCAGCTGCTCCCCTCAGCAGTGTATTTTGTCAGTCTGCCTGTTCTGTTCCCCCCTTTGTCTCTGGTGAATCCTCTCACCCTCCCGCACATCTGGCTGTACCCCGGTTCTTATATAAATAAATGAATAAATCTTAAAAAAAAAAAAGAAATTATTTTTCTTACCTGGTCCTGTGGGTTGAGAGCCTGCTACCCTAAAGGATCTCAAGGTTTCTGAGAGCACCTGTTTCCTCTGCATATGGAGTTCCAGGAGTGGTTGACTATTCAAATGGACCCATTCAGGAATTGCCAGATCAGGTTAGAATTGTGTAAGTCATCCTGTGGGCAGCTGTGAAGTAGTTAAAACAAAGGCCAGTAGCCACTGGGGTTCCTGTTGAACTCCATGAACCGTGGCAGGAGGCCTCTTCCATGGCATTCATGCAGAAGTTGCTGCATCACTTAAAACACCGCACCAAAGCTGCATAGGGTGGTGACTGCAGGCATTGCTACCTTGCCAGCATCATCGCTGCTGCAGCTACTGCCGCTGTTGCTCCCACGAGTGGTACACGCCTCTGAATACCTGCAAATCTTTCAAAAAATATTTACAGAAACTTGGGACAATCAAATCCATGTTGACAAGGAAATCTAAACAAAATACAGCCATTACAAGAATCCATTATTTGGTTGGGTGAATAGGCTTTGCCAAAGCTAGTTATACTTACTCTGCTTCAGAAACAAAAGGGGGATATGTTGGGAACCTGCTCCTGCTCTCTGAGGACATGCTGGCATGTGTGCATGATCCCCACTAACTGGAAAAATGTGTTCCAGCAGTAACTGATTAACCCGTATAAGCACAAACATAACTGCATGCAGGTTTCTTGTTTCTTTGCTCATATCTTTAATGAAAACTTGGGCTGGAGAGTGAAAGGCAGGGCAAATCCCAACAAAACACATGGTTGTTTGCAGTGTGTTGGTTGGTGTGAAAATCCTAATGACCATTACCAGAAACAAGAGTCCTCCTGAGTGAATTTTTTTGTAAGCTTATTCATTTCTTAATCAGAATGACATATGTTGGGGTACCACTCACCAGGCATTGGGCGCACAGAGTGAGCAGTTCCTGGACTCTGTGTCTGTAACTAAGAGTTCAGCTTGAGGAAGTGTCAGGTGACCTAAGCCCCAGAGGGAGCAGAAGGGGACAGGGAGGTGAGTCACCCCAAGGAAAGACAGGGTGAGGGTCCTGGGTGTTTGGTGCAGGTGGGTCCAGGGCTGGGCACTGGCAGGATCTGGAACCCTGTAGCAGGTGCTGAGGGGCATGGTCCTCACCCTGAGCCTGGAATCTAGCCCATTCCCCCAGCAGGCAGGTGGGACCCGCACAGGACTCCCCGCAAAATCTGTTTCCTCACCTGTGTGTGGTGAGGTTAGGGATGTGGGGAGGGTGGGGAGCTGATGCCTGTGAGTCTCACTTCAGGGCCTGGCACCTCGTGGGCATTCAGCCCCTGTCTGCCCTCCTGGCTGCAGGGAAAGAGGGTGGGGGAGAAAGTGGAGGTGATGACAGGCCCTGTGAACCCTCCCTGCCTGGTGTGGGGAGCAGAGAAGGCAGGTGAGGGTCCATGTTGAGAAAGGCCTGGGGCACTGTGGGGAGCAGGGAGAGGGTGAGACTGTGCGGGGCAGGGAGGAGGCTCCTGCGGCCTGACCAGGGCAGGTGTGGTCACCTCCACCCTGAGCGTTTCCTCTCCATTTGTTCCCCTTCCTCACCCACCGTGCTGGACAGGCATGACCTCAGGCCACAACTAGACCCTCCTGGCAGAGGAGACCTGCAGCGTCTTCCTGGAGACAGGGGCCCAGGGAACATCTCCTGTGGCCACAACTTCTGCCAGTCCTGTCACAGCCGAGTCACTCTCAGACCCACAGAGGGCCATATTCTGTCCACGCTGCCAGGAGTCACCAGAGAGGGAACAGCAGTCCCAGTGGGTTTGTCCTCTGGGGGCAGATTGTCCTCTGGGATAGAATTGGCCAGTGGCCATTTTCTAGTAGCCACATTAAATGAGGATCCATGCAACATGTGTACGCAGTGGGGTGTGATGGGCTTTGCTGAGTCCACTTCAGCAGCAAGGTTTGACACAAGCCACAGGGAGAGAGGCCCATGGTTTGCCAGGCCCCAAGCTCAGCATGGAGCCTGTGGGCATCCCTGAGCTCTGGCAGTGTTGACCTGGGCTGTGCTGAGGCAGGCGGTAGACCGGCCCAGTGGGCTGTGATAGAGGGGTTGCCTGCTCTGGATGCTCATGTGAGTATCTGGCCCTGCTGAAGCCCACTCCCACTGTGATCCCTGATGCCATGGGGAGAGGGGACCTTACTGTGTGCAGCCTGTGGGCCCATCAGATGGACTCTGAATGACAGCAGCCTAAACTCCAGGGTGAGTCTACCTGACCTCAGGCATCTGGACACACTGGCAGGTGCTTCATTTATGAATAAAATGTCAGAATTGTAAATGGACCAATCTGATTCCAGCTCTCAGAAGTGCCATTCAATGTTTTTGAGACCATTCAGGGCTCTGAATAGACCAATCTGATTGGAGCTCAACTGGCACTGTTATGGGGCAACCCCTATATAAAACGGGTTGCCTGGCTATGGGTCCTCACCCGCGCGCTTAAAAGGGACTTATTAATACTCCACTACAGGCACACACAAAAGGTTAATAGAAGGTTTATTTACAAGGAAAGGGAATTAAGGAAATGTATAACTCAGGGAGAAAATAGGGAAATAAAGTCTTTAATGCATCTTACCCGATCCACCAACCTGGAAACCCAAAGGCACTCTCAGAGCTGGCTGAACACTGCGAGCTGGGGAGAGCCAAAATGGGGGAATCCCCTCCAAAGCCCAGGTGTCTGGCTTTATACCAAACTTGGCTGCTTAACCCCACCCTCAGGTCCCAGCCACCTTCCCTTTTGGTGGTGGTGGGATTTGGAGTTCCCAGTGTCTTTTGGCTTTGGTCTGGAGTGGGGTTGGAG